GGCGGAGGAGGAGGAGGCGGAGGAGGAGGAGGCGGAGGAGGAGGAGGAGGAGGAGGAGGAGGAGGCGGAGGAGGAGGAGGCGGAGGAGGAGGCGGAGGAGGAGGTCATATTCCCCAGGGCGCGGGGGCGGGCGTCCTCTGGGAGCTCCTCCAGGCAGCGCGCGGCGGCCGGGCTAGAGTTCCTCGCTGCGAGGGCGCCTCTCCGCGGCCGCCTCTCGTGCTCCTCACGGCCTTGTTGCACGCTCGGTGCTGCGGATGCCGAGGGCGACGTCAGTTGTGGGGGGGGGGGGGCAGGCTCGTGGCTCGAGGCGTTCGGGTCGAGCGAGGCCTCGAGGGTTTTTGGGGCATTCTGGCGGGCTCCTCCGCGGTAGGTTTCTGGGCATTCCAGGGGGCTCTCCGCGAAGTGTTCCTCGCCTCGGGGTGCTCTCTCGCGCAGCCGCGCCTCGCCGAAGGGGCGTGCCGAGGGGTTGCCCGGACCTCCCCCCGAGGGCGGCCGCCCGTGGGCCGAGCGCCACGTGGCTTGATGAGCCAGTCGGCCCGGGGCCCGCAGCTCAGGGAGTGGGCGCAGCGGCCCCTGATCGCCCACTCCTCGCCGGTGGAGGTCCGACCTCGCTCCCCGCCCGGGCCAGCCGGCCCGGGGCCAGAAGCTCAGGGAGTGGACGCATCGACCGCCGATCTCTGGGCCTCCTAGGTGGGGTCAGAGTAGATGGGGCCGGAGGATCGCGCCGCCTCGCCGATGCATCGGCGATGCGGCCCGATGTGGAGCCCGACGTTCTTCACGCCGACGGCGCCGATGCATCGCCGACGTCGCCGGAGCATCGCCAATGCATCGGGGATGCATCGCCGACCCCCGTCAGGAGGGGAAAAAACACACAGACACAATTCACCGTCCACTCCCAGGAAAATTTTGGAAGATGTAGGAAGTGGGGGGGAAGACAAACACCCCCAAAATAGGGGAGCAGATGGGGCATCTTTTTATTTGTGTGTGTATTTATTTGTGTGTCCTGGGGCCCCTTCCCCCCGATCGCCCATGCATCGCCGGCGGAGAGCCGACCTCGCGCCCCGCCCGGGCGCGCGCAGAGTTGCCATCGCAGAGGGCGACACTGCCGATCGGTCGGCGATGCATCGGCGCTCGCCCGGGAGCCGGCCGGCCGCCCCCCCCCCACCTCGGAGGCTGCCCCTCACCCGAGTGGCGCGCCCCGCTGCCGCGCGGTCGGCGCGGCTGGTCTCGGGCCGGGCGGAAGGGGGGGGATTGGGAAAGGGGGGGTGACGAAATTTGCGGCATGTAGCTGGTTTCGGCCTCACCGAGGGGCCCATTCCTCGATACATGACCGCCTCCGGCGCCGGGAGGCGCCGGGAAACCTGCGTGAGCTGATTCTCACCCCCCCCCCTTTGCCATGCCCCCCTTTCGCCCGACCCGATGTTCGTGCCCCCCTCCCTGAGGGGGCAAAGCCTTCCTCGAGAATTCGACGGACCTAGCGGAGAGCTGCCCTCACAGAAGCTGAGGGCGGATGTGCTCTTGGAGGCACCGGAGATGACCAGCCTGGAGCCTATCCCTATCCCATATGCTGGGCATCGCCTCATCACGATGGCGGTCTGGGGAATCCCTTGTTTTTTGAGGGCGCATCCGTGCGATTGTCATCGCCTTTTGGCGTGTCAATCTTAGGGATAGGGAGAAGCTCGAGGCTGGTAAGAAGAGGGGAGGGGCAGTCGTTGCCCGACAGGTGTGCACGGTGACCGGCAGCGCCGCCCAGCCCCGAAGAAAACAGGTAACCGCTGTTCGGACCTCGCAGGTGGCGCTGTTCTAGATGTCGCGGGAGGTAGAGGTAAACGTGCAGTACACGGAAACATTCGGCAATGCTAAGGCTGAGACTCATCCCTTTCCTAGAGGAAAGAGAATTACGCACATACATCGATTCTGGCCAAGACCCTCCTGAAGGCTCGGTGCATATGCCTTCTTGGCCAAGGCAGGAGGGCGTATGCACCGATCCTGGGCTCAGGATGGGCCTGGCCAGAATCGGTGTATGTGCATAGTGTTTGTTGTTCTCTCTATTTCCTCTACCTCCAGCTGCAGAGGTGTTTGCCTCCAAGGTTGCGCTCCCGCAGCTGACCGACATCAGACCTTTGACCATGAACTGTTTCCTCCCCTGCGTGCGGAGAAGAGAAGGAGGAGGAGGAGGAAGAGAAGGAGAGGAGCAGGCAGAGAAGCAAGAGGACGCTCGGAAGGACGATCACTTGCAGAATGAGGCGTGGGCGGAGGAGGAGGGTGATCACGAGGAGGCGGAGGAGAAGCAGGAGGAAGAGGAGGACAAAGAGGAGGACGACATGGTGGTGGAGGAGCACGAGGGTGAGGGTGCAAAAGGGGAGTACAGCGAGGATGAGGGCGGGGATGAGGACTATGAGTGCGGACCGAGATTACGAGGACTGGCACGAGGAGGTGGAGGAGACGGACGGGAGGACGAGGAGGATGAGGACGCGCAGGAATCGAGCCGAGTCGAGCGCAAGGATCCGCCCGAGCCGAAAGACGGAGCAGACAGGTGCAGGCCTGGATGGCAATGTGCATGAAGGGTATGCCCAAAGCGAGCCGCCGGCATGGGACAGGCAGGGTGAGGACGAGGCTAAGGGAAGGAAGAGAACGCCGTGGAGGAGGAGGAAGAGGAGGAGGAGGAGGAGGAGGCGTTCGTTCCCCTGCTGCGCCCCTCCGTCCAGAAACAGGGGAGGGGATAGGGCGAACAGGGCGAAGGGGTCGAGCCACCCAGAAGCCGCAAGCCGCCTCGCTCGCGCCCGCCTGTCCCTTCCAGCGCGCAGCAGGCAGCGCCCGTGCCTCGGCATGCGGAGCGGCCGCCCGCGGACGGGCCGCCGCGCGGGAGCCAGGTGCAGGCGCCGGCGACGCGACGCGGGCGAGGTGAGCCCCGCGGCACCAGGTGCGCCAGGCGCCCCAGGCAGGGGCAAGGATAGGGGGGGGGACATAGGCATATAGGGGGGGATGCATCGACCCCCAAGTCGCCCACTGATCGCCGACAGGGGCCCGATAGCCCCTGACCTGCCCAGGAAGGTGCGGATGCACGATCGGGAGCCCATCGCCGATCTATTGGCGATATATCGCGGATTCCGGGTCGATGCATCCCCCCTTATGCCTATCCTCCCCCCCTATCGTTGCCCCTCACCAAGGGGGGGGCCCAGGCGCGCCAGGCGCGCCAGGTGCACGCGGCAGCACGCAGCGGGGAAACAGCCGAGCCCCCCGCCGCCCGCGTCGAGGAAGGCCCTGCCTCCGTGGCGGCGGGGTGGCCGTCGTGCTGAGCCGGGCGCGCCAGGCGCGCCGGGTGCCCCAGGGCACGCGGCGGCACGCGGCAGCGGGGGAAGCGGCCGAGCCCCCCGCCGCGCAAGGGCGTCGAGGAAGGCACCTGCAGCCGTGGCGGCGGGGTGGCCACCGCGCGCGGAGAGCTGCGCGTGCGCAGAGCCGCGGTCCCCTGGCATCGGTTTTTTCAGGCGGGCCTGTCCCTCTACAGGAGGAGTATTCTCAGGAGGGGAAAAAGCACACAGACACGATTAATCGTCGATTCCCCGGAAAGTATGGAAAATATGGGAAGTGGGGGAGAAGACAGAAACGCAGAAAATATGGGAAAGTATGGGGGAATATTTTTATTGTGTGTATTTAGTTGTGTGTCCTGGGGCCCCTTTGTATTCAAGAACAGTCAAAAACAGATATTCGGGAAGTGATTTTTCGGGGGTGGACCGAGCTCCTACCCCGACACGTCGATCCATGAATTGGCCGTTTTCGGTGCGCGGGGGGGCGTCGCGGCCGTCGTTCCTGCGGGTCCAGGTCCGTCGGTTTCGGCCCCAGGACGTTTTCACCAAGGGGAGGTTTACTGAAGGGAGGGTTGTCCACCGCCGAATTGCGTTCACATGTTTTGCTATGTTTGAGCATGTTTTGACTATTTTTGATTTTGTGTCCAAAATCAGCCTGTTGGGGGTCACGCCCGACCTAACATTGGTTTGGGACTGGGGTGATGGGGCCGCGCACACCAGACAGCATGAGCCCCACCACTACCTTCTCCCCACAGGCAATACAGGGTGGCCTCGCGAAAGTCCACGATGCTGTTGAAAGCTGTACTCTGTGTAGTTTTTGCCGACAGGGATTGTGGGGTGGTGGTTGTTTCATGGTTTCGGGTTTGCCCCCAGCAGGCTGGGGGAAGGGTTGTTGATTTAGAAAGAGGAGACATGCGGCCCTCCCCGAGTAGGGGAAGCATGGGCTGTGCAAGGGGGAAAAGAATAATTGTCACACCACCCCCGTCCAGAGAGCCTGTGGGATTTTGAGGGGAGCGCTGCCGTGGCGTCGAGGAGGGCTCCTGAAGGCGCTCGGAATCCTTGATCCTCGAGGAGGAGGAGGAGGAGGAGGAGGAGGAGGAACATGAGAAGGAGAAGGACCTCCTGCTCCTCCTTCTCCACGCCCCCTAGGATCCGACGTAGCGGAAACGAAGGCAAATTCATGGAAGTACAATTATCTGGGAGGGTCCCGGGGCTCGAAAGTGGTCGAAAATGCCCGGCTCGAGCAAAAATGAGACGCCAGGAAGGGGAGGAGGAAGGGAATGCTCCAAGAACAACGACGAGGAAGCGAGGGGGGAGTGAGGAGGGGAGCAGGGAGGGGAAGGAGGAGAAGGAGGAGAAGGAGCTGCATCCTCCTGCCCACTGGGCCAGCCGCCCGGCAAAGCCCGCAGTTGCCTGGCATGCGGAAGATGGAGCCGAAGGACGTCCCGCAGGTGGTTCGCCGCCACCGCAATCGAGGGCCGACGGCCGACAACGCCGACCCAACCACGGTCACGACGCCGACGACGCCGACCACGACGCCGACGACGCTAACGCCGGTGACGGCGACGACGACGACGACGACGATCACGAAGTTCGCATTGGTGGAGGCAGTCGCTTGTTACTTAGATTGAGGGCAACGCTTATGCCTCCAGTCAATCTCGACACCGTGCCTGGGTTGTCGGTCAGAGGCTTCTTACGTGCATGTGGGGTCTTTTCGAATGCCTTCCGGGGGCCTCTTGGAGGGATCTCTGTGGCGTGTCTTGGGGGGCCACTTCGAAGGTGCATTTTTTTAATGCATTCCTTTACCGATCGGCGCGGGCCCGCACCCCCCCCATCCCCCCCCCCATTTACCAGCCTGGAACCTATCCCTATCCCTGTGTTGGGCATCGCCTCGTCACGATGGCGATCTTAGGGATTCCCTCAGTTTCTGAGGGCGCATCCCTAACATTGTCATCGCCTTTGGGCGTGTCAATCTCAGGGATAGGGATAAGTTCGAGGCTGGTCACCCATGGAGTGGATCCTGACTGCTTTGGGCGCCCGTTGCGAGCAGGCGGGGTCCCTCCCCCACAGGACGCGCTGCTGCACACAGTCGCACCAAGCAGAGGTCCGGAGCCAGACCCCCCCTCTGAAGTCGGGCATGTCCCCCTACAGGGGGATTTTCGACGGAAGATAGAAAATACCCAACAATACCCCAAACAGGTCAAACCTACAAAAAATAGTCCATATATATTTGTTATATATATATATATATATATATTCCCTACCTAGGCTCTGCCTAGAAGGGTTCTTACTCTCTTAGCTTAAAGGGGCCGGGCAGTGTAAACCGCCCCGGGCGGTTCCCCCAGTCCCCGCCCCGCGGTTCCCCCAGTCGCGCCCCCTGGGTTCACCCAGCTTGGCTTGAATAAGCTTAGCTTAGCTTAGCTTAGCTTAGCTTAGCTTAGCTTAGCTTATCTCATCTTAGCTGAGCTTAACTTAGCTTAGCTTAGCTTAGCTTAGCTTAGCTTATCTCATGTTAGCTTAGCTTAGCTTAGCTCACCTTACCTTTTCTCATCTTAGCTTAACTTAGCTTAGCTTTGCCTAGCCTAGTTTAGCTCAGCTTTAGCTTAGCTTTAGCTTAGATTTAGCTTTAGTTTCAGCTTTAGCTAAGCTTTAGTTTTGATTTAGCTTAGCTTTAGCTTAGCTTTAGCTTAGCTTTAGCTTAGCTGTTGGTTTGATTTAGCTTAGCGTTAGCTTAGCTTTAGCTTTGCTTTAGCCTGGCTTTAGCTTTAGCTTTATATTTCGCTTTATCTCTTAGCTTTAGCTTAGCTTTCACTTAACTTTAGCTCAGCTTTAACTTAGCTGTAGCCTATAATCAGCTTAGATTTAGCCTAGCTTTAGCTTAGCTTTAGCTTAGCTTCAGCTTAGCTTCAGCTTAGCTTTAGCTTAGCTTTCAGTAGCGTTAGCTTAGCTTTAGCTTAGCTTTAGCTTAGCTTTAGCTCAGCTTTAGCTTAGCTCTAGCTTAGATTTAGCTTAGCTTTAGCTTAGCTTTAGCTTAGATATAGCTTAGCTTTACCTCCGCTTTACCTCAACTTTAGCTTAGCTGTATCTTAGCTTTAGCTTAGCTTTAGCTTAGCTTTAGCATAGCTTTAGCGTAGCTTTAGCTTCGCTTTAGCTTAGCTTTAGCTTAGCTTTAGCTTGGCTTTAGCTTAGCTTTAGCTTAGCTTTACTGTTCCTACACTTGCTGCTTTCCTAGGGGCTCCAACTCCTAGGTAGGGTCGCACTGGGATAATTGATTTTTTTGTATTGTTCCCTACCTAGGCTCTGCCTAGAAGGGTTCTTACTCTCTAGCTTAAAGGGGCCAGGCAATGGAAACCGCCCCGGGCGGTTCGCCCAGTCCCCGCCCCGCGGTTCCCCCAGTTGCGCCCCCTGGGTTCACCCAGCTTAGCTTAGCGTCAGCTTAGCTTCAGCTTAGCTTCAGCTTAGCTTTAGCTTAGCTCTAGCTTAGCTCCAGCTTAGCTTTAGCATAGCTTCAGCGCAGCTCTAGCTTAGCTTTAGCTTAGCTCTAGCTTAGCGTTAGCTTAGTTTTAGCTTAGCTTTAGCTCAGCTTTAGCTTACTTTAGCTTAGCTTTATCTTAGCTTTAGCTTAGCTTTAGCTTAGCTTTAGCTTAGCTTTAA